GAGAGGGAGAAGCAGACTCCCAGCCGAGCAGGGAGCCCGACGCGGGACTCGATCCAGGGACTCCAGGATCATGACCTGAGCCGAAGGCAGTCGCTTAACCAACTGAGCCACCCAGGTACCGTACAGTGAGTGTTTTTATAAGCATTTTTCATTGCATAAAATTCCATTACAAACATATCAGAACTTGGATCTTCAGGTTGTTTCTTACTTTTTACTATTTTAAACAATACCAGAAACAACCTCTTCTTACACACATTTTTGTCTACATTTCATATCTCCTTAACATGGATTCCTAGTGGTCCCTAGGGCCCTGGCCCCTAATGGTCCCTGCCCCTGGAATTCACACCTTGATGTGGTCCCCTCCCACACTGTACCAGGGTTGGTCTATGTGACCAACAGCATATGGCAGAAGTGATGGCCTGTCTCTTCCAGATTAGGTTATAAAAGGATGGTGGCTTCTGTCTTGGGTATGGGTGTTCTCCCCCTCTTTCTCTATCATGGATCGTTCACTCTGGTGGAAGCTATGTTGTGACCAAAGCTATGGAGAGGCCAGCATTGTGGAAAACTGAAGCCTCCTGCCAACAGCCACACGAGTGAATATTTCTCCTCCTTTGTTTTGGTTTGGTTTTTATTTTGTATACACATTTTTCTGACAGATAGAAATTTAAAATTTTATGGAGCGCCTGGCTGGCTCAGTCTATACGGCACATGACTCTTGATCTCAGGGTTTTGAGTTTAAGCCCCACGTTGGGCATAGAGCTTACTTAAAAAAACAAAACAAAAAACAAACATTAAAGATGCCTATTGATTAAAAAGAAAGAAAGAAAAAGGAAAGACAAGGAGGATAACCGAATTCCTTAAGAAAAAAAAATGAAAAAACCCATTATGCAATGGCTCCCCTGGAGCATGTGACTCTTGATCTCAGAGTCATGAGTTCAAGCCCCACATTGGGCAGAGAGCTTACTTTAAAAAAATTTTTAAAAAATAGGGGTGGGGGCGCCTGGGTGGCTCAGTTGGTTAAGCGACTGCCTTCGGCTCAGGTCATGATCCTGGAGTCCCGGGATCGAGTCCCGCATC